CTCAGAAGCACGATTTAACAGGACCTTCCTTCATAACACTGAGGAACCACATCGATGCAGAAATCAGGAGACACTGGAGCAGCCCATATCTCTTACAGAACACAGTTTATTTGGCATTTGGATGAAATGTTTCTCACAGCATCTTGAGAAAAAAAAAAATATTAGTGTCAACCCCAAAAAAAAACAGAAATCAGGAGACACTGGAGCAGCCCATATCTCTTACAGAACACAGTTTATTTGGCATTTGGATGAAATGTTTCTCACAGCATCTTGAGAAAAAAAAAAATATTAGTGTCAACCCCAAAGAAAGAAGTTAAAACAAAAAAAAAACCAGTGTCACAGGGACTGAATTCTTATAGTATCAAATTTAAATTCTACATAGTATTTCACAGAATATCAAAATCTTTTATACACTGCCACAGTTAAGTCCAGTCACAAACCAACTACACAGGAGAAGCCTGCAAATGTAGTGCCAGATAAAATGATTTTTCAGGAGAAGGTAAAAAGCAGTGCCTGGTTCTCTCTCACAGCCTCTCAGGCACCAGCCAGCCCCAAGCTGAGGGCAGCCTGTAAGCCTCGCCTCTGGGCTGGCATCAATTGCAACCCACCCACCCTTCCAGGTGCACAGTACTGGGAAATGAAAGCTGTGGTACTGCAGCAGGCAGGTAACGCGGGCGGGTGCCAGGGGAAGCAGATCTGAACTGCTCCAAGTGTCTGTTCCAAAGACACATGCATTTCATTTGGACCATCAGAAGCAAAATGCATGGACTTTGTTTTGCCCCCCCTACACTAATCTGCTTTTAGGGTCCAGCTCCCAACTTGCAAATGAAACTTAAGACATTTCTGACTATTGTGTGGTCCTTCGCTAGGGAGAAAATAACTGAAAAAAACCCAACCCAGACCCACACATAATGAATTGTGTGAGGCAACATTAAAACTTCAGTGCTTTGCCACTGAAAAGCCACATCTGAAAGATAAAAATGTCTTTTAAAAACAGCTTCAAATTAATTTACCATTAGATGGGAAAAGAACAGTAATTACCGCTGACAAAAACATTTTCTCCCCAAGTGCAACTCCAGAGACGTGTAACCTGTGACACCCGTGGAGACCGAGCACCCGCCAACTGTCAGATCAAGGCTTCAGAAACAATTTGCCACCTACTTCATTCTTCTAGATGCTTGTCCTGCCATGAATGGGTAAAGGAACAGCCCAAGGCTCAAACCTTGACCAGACAGAACATGACACAGACAAGCTCTCTGTAGATCTGAATGACAGCTTTGATCTTCCAGCACAGACTGAAACCCACCGTCCTTCTAACATGACAATGCTCTGCAACTAGTAGAGTGAAAACATCAGAGGCTGCTCTGAGACTGTGCACAATAACACCAGGACAGTCAGAGGGGAATAACTAGGGCTGCTCCTGAAGGAACAGCAGAGACCTCAATATGGCACCACAGCACAAACTAAGGATGGGGAACGTGGGGAGTGGTTCTGTCGGGGCCATGCTGGGGGTGCCAGGCCTGCGCAGAACCGAGCGCTGCGACTTCACGACATTCCAAGAGAAACACACTCTCTGCTCACGTACTGCTGGGAATGATGTGGCAATGCCATCTCCACTGCTGGGTCTGGAAGGACATTTGGGATGCATCAGTAGGTAAGAAAAACATCCAGAGAAGTAAACGGTGGTGAGGGGAAAAAAAAAAGAACACACCAATGCAAAAAGTAACTCCAGAGATCTCATCAATCTAATGGCAATCAAAACAGAAAGGTCCTTCTCAGGCAAGCATCACCCCTCTGTAACTGGTGCTCAGGACAAACTGCTTGCCAGTCACCTTGCCCAGGGCAAGGAAGGTTTGCTGAGGAGTCAACTGCTGTCAAGAAAACTTAACTTCTCCCCAGTTGGTCCAGAAGTAGTTGTGATGTCATCTGCTACAAAGGCTCTTACTCCAAGAGAAAGTATTCAATGTAAAAGCTACATTAAAAAGGGAAAAAATTCCAATTTTATTGCCAAATTAGAAGCTCACCGAGAGGTAAACGAACCATACTTAGTGAGCTGCTCTGTTCAAGGCAAAACTTCCCTTGTTTACAGTTAAAATGAAGAAGGATAGGGGAAAAGAGAGAATATAGCAGCCTCCATGCCCATATGCAAGTGGAAAAGGCTCAGAAGCAATGGGGAAAATATCACACTGAGGCTTCTACAAAGCAGCCTCCATTTGGAATAGCTACAACCAGGAGCCACCATGAAGTTGCCAGTTGTAAAAGAGCTTATTTTCAAATAAAATTCACCACAGAATCAAATGTAGAATTAAAAAACCCCAGAACAAACTGATTCCCACAACATTAGAAGAGTGAGGTAAGGTATCTGTTCACCTCAGCCACAAAACACAGCTTCAGAGACCAAACCAAGCTAAAAGGCCTTTTGTTATTGCGCTAGGACACTACAAAGAACAAATATTCCATCTGGATTCAAAAGAAATTGGGAGGTTTCTATTTTGCAATGCTAACAAAATATTCTTCAGGAACAGATCCTAGTAGCACAGACTTTGCATCCTACTGAAGTGTACACTATCACAGCCTGTCCTACAACAGAGTGTAGCCAGCTTGAGAGAAGTATTAACCCTAAGAGCCTAGTTTATACCCCAGTGCTTAGCTTCAGCTAGCTGGATGCAGCACAAAGGTTACCATCTACAGTATGTATGGGTGTGTATATATATATATATATGTTGCCACCCGGAAACACACACACGCACACACGCATTCATACCTATAAAACTAAAGAAAAATCAGTACATACAATGTATAAAACGTATGAGTGTGCTCAAAAATGCACAAAACCCGCTTTATTTTCATACTTCAGAAATGCTCAATCATTTGCAGGCATGGTTCTGACTACTGCTATCCATCTACTTCGTTAGACCAGGGCTTGAGCTCAGAGGAGGAGATGGCAAGAGATCCCGAGGGTGGAGAACTGCTCCTCTCGTTTCCTCCCACTGCTGTTGGAGCCAGTCAAACCAGAGAGCAGGCTGTGAGCACTGGCACAGCTCCGGGGGGAGCGGCTTCCCAGTGCTGCTTCCTCCCCCCCTCCTGCCAGCAGTGCACCCCAGAGCTGTGGGGGTTGGACTAGATGATCTTCAGAGGTCCCTTCCAACCCTGACCGCTGTGATTCTGTGGCTCTGGGATTCGCTCTCTCCACCGGATTCAAGATCGTCAGCAAGTGTCTGAACATCAAGACACCAGATCTGATCTCAACAACAAAACTCACAGTTTTCCGTGCAAAAGGAGGTGAACTGTCAAGACCAATCCCCAAGTACAGTATAAGCCTACAGCCAAAAGACAGAATAGAAAGGAGCAGCATATTAAATGGGTAAAGAGTCAGCGGCACTGGGAAACCGCAAGAGGGGGTCAGGATTTGTCATACGAGTATGATTTGTCATCATTACTAGAAAAATAGATCACGTACACACCCCCGAGCAGTATTTTCTCCCTGTCCCTCTGGGCTTGTGCCCTTCATAAGGTAACAGGAGAAGACTCATGAGGGGCACTCTTTACAAATTCCTTACAATTCCTCTCATCTGCTGCTACAGTAAATCAAGAAGCAGAGGCAAGAAGAGGATGGGGGAAAAGGTAAATTACTTGCACACTGAAATCCAAACTTAATTTAAAATCACCTGCAAAGACTGTTTTGCAATCATTATCAAAACCAACAATGCTTGACTTTGGGTGTAGTGAGGGAGTGAATGAGTGTTTTTGCCATCAGTAAATTAACTTATTTTAAAGAGTTCCATCTGAGAGGGAAATTTAAGATGACATACCAGACTGAAGCAAACTGCTTTTTTATTGATTTATGTACACTAATCTAATTGACCCCTCATGGGACCTGGATAAATGGTTTGGGAGGCACAGGGGAAAGCCCTAGGAGAAGGCTGGCAATTTATAGGACTCAGATAAGGAACAAGTGTCCAATTAGAATTAATCCTCACATATAGTGCTTGTTGATCACTGTTTTAAAATGGTACCTGTGGAAATATCAAGAACTGAAATGGAGGGGAGAGAACACACATGCTAAATACAGCACGCAATAAGAAAAGCAAGAATAGTGTTTTACCCAGGCCAGTGTTGTACAACTGTTTGCTGTAACGGAGTTAAACTACAAAAAAAAATACAGACCCTCAGTCTTCCTTATGAGATTGTAACTACCTAACATGTGAGGATGCTACCAAAGGGACACTTACACTGACCCAGTTTTCTTGATGGGCCACAAGTTTCCCCAACAAGATGAGATTTTACAGCTTCCAAAAGCAAATAATCCTAATTGCAAATTCTGGTTTTCTCAGTGGCCACTTTTCATACCTTGTGTAGATCATTCACCCTCCCGTCCCTACAGTGTTTGGAAGCAGCAAGGCAGATCAAAACACACAAATGTTGTCTACTGTGTAACTCTTACTTGGTGGCATGTGTTTTAGCTTCTTAGTGTTTCCACTCTGTAAAACAGGGCCCAGCCCCTTCCCCTGCAGTTCCATCTTCCTTCCCTTTTCCACGTGTAGCGCTGAAGCAAGAGAAAGCCACTGATTGAATGGTGACTGCTCACACCCTCCTTTTCCCTTGTCTCTTCCCTGGGTCCAATGGTATCCAGTCAAATCCAAGCAGCTTTTTTCTGACATCGATTTTGTTTCCTCTCAGGTTAAGGAAAAAAAAACAAACCCACAACAAACTACCCAAACTTTTCACCTCCTTAGAAGTCAAAAGAATTCCCTGCGCTCTTTTCCGTAGCCAAAGGAAAAAAGAGCAGCTGTGCAATCCATATTTACAGGACAAACCGATTAGTGAATGAACAACGACAGCCAAAAAAACGAGAGGCACAATCCTAAACCTAGAACATAAAAGCCGTGTTCAGAAAAAGAAGTGGAGATTCCTTCTGAAGTCCAAACCACGGGTTAAGTGTTTGTCTGTGCAAACAGTTGCTAAAACTACTCCTGACCAGCCGTTGTTCTTCCACTCCTTCACACGATGGTGTTGAGGGAGCAGTGGCTGGGCCGGCTGCCCGCCAGAGTTTCTGCCGGCGCGTTTTCGTTGAGGGGTGTGTCAGGAGGGACCAGAAAGGTGCTGCTGTCAGCAGAGTCTTCCAGCTCCACTGGAGAAGGACCAACTGAGGGAGGAAGCGACCCCTCTGTAAGCTGTGGGGATACATCACAGTTTCCTAGTGATGGAGGACTGCTTTGCACAGTCTGAGGGAGAACTCTGTCTGCAAGGGACAAAAAACAAGCAGAATCAGGACGTGAAGTGTCTTGTTTCACGTGCCCAAATAGATTCACTTTCTGTGTTGCTGGAAGCCCTGAATTTTTGCTCTTTTTGCATTAATGCACTAGGAGATAACACTACAAATGAGGAAAATTAGGTAGCAAAAAATAAAACTTTGATACATAAATAAGATACTTGCTCTAATCAGGCTCACTTATCTTGTGAGATAGGCTGCTACTGAATCCCAAATTGGAATGATTTCCACAGGATATGAATATCACAGCTGCAAAACTGAATAACACTGGGTGAATCATTAGAAAGTGATATTTTTGGTCAATCTTTGGGGGGTGTGGGTGTGGGAGGTGGGGAGGAGAGAAGACACTGGATATATTTTATTCAAAATCTTTTCTACTTGACATTTGTTCTGTTTTTTAGTACCAACCTCTATAGACCTATCTTGAAAAGCCCAGAAAAGGTGCCAACATAGTGGAAAGTAGGTAACCAGGTAACCTGTCCAAGGTAAGACTTGAAAACAGGCAAGGTCTAAGAGTTTAACTGCCTGCAGCATGGGTTCCACTTGTAACTTAAGTCATTCAAGGAACCTTTCAAAACAACCAACCTTAACATTACATTTTCACAGAGACTTTTCCACTGCAGAAATAGAAGATTATACTATGAAATGTATTTTCCCATCACAGTCACTAAAACACATTATTATATTAAAAAAAACCCTCAACTTTACCCTCTGGCCAAAATGCAATAAGGAAGAAAAGAGAAGTTATTGTCTGCATACCTGGAGTGGAACAAAGGATGCTGTCTGGATTGACAGAAGCCTCATAAGGAGGAGGTGGGTCATCTGGGTGTTGAATATCTGGATACTTGTAAGCAGTATATGGTGGAGGTGGATCATGGAAATGAAATGCCCCACCTTCCCCATCATCTGAGAGATGCAGTGGAGTAAGGCCAGTTCCAAAACCATCAGGACCATAATCAAAACCAGGCATCCTGCGGCCCAGGTTAAAATGGTGCACTATTTCAAGAGAAGAAAAAAGAAGTTAGTCAATTTATCCCATGCTTTCTTCCTCAATTTAATGCAGATCTCAAGACTTTTTTCCAGTTTTCACACCCAAAGAACTCCTGTCTCTTGAAGACCTAAAAAAGTCAATCTATACAGGTCAACTCACTGCAGCTACACAATGATATGCAGGCCCAGCTGCTCCCAGTCTGTTTGTCCTGCATCACATCTAAATTTGAATCTAGCCTCTTCAAACTAAGGAGATCATTCACACCCAGAAGATATTTCAGAATTAGAGCAAAGAAAAAAATATTTGTCCATTATTGGCTAAAAAAGTTCACATTTGAAGAACCTATTAAGACACACACACAGGCATATTCAAGCAAGAATATGGCATTTCTCACCTTTATGTACATCCATCTGCCAATAATAAGCCTGAGGCACCAGATAAGTGTAGATACAAGTTTTTTTCTTTGAATATGGACTGGTTCAGAGACCCAGAAATTGTACAGATCATTACCAGTTCAGGCAGCCAGCACAGAGCTACACTTGAGCACAGTACTGACGAGAATGATAACCAGGCTTCCACTGACATTTTCCATAGATGTCTATTTCTCCAGCTCTCTTTATTCTGAAGCACACACACTGCTCAGACCAAGACTTGCTACAGACACAGGCTACTCACAGTTTGCCCCAATCAAGGACTCGATGCGCTCCCTCCGCCTCTGGCGCAGCCGATGGACCATAAAAAGCAGCAGGGAGAGGATGAGGAAGGAGGAGATGCAGCTGACGATCAGCCGCATGCCACCCGCCATCGAGTCAAACAAACTGTTGCCATCTGTTGCATAAAACAGATAAAAGGGGCCTGTTAGTTTTGTTCAAGATTCATTTTTCTTGATGTTTTTTCCAGTAAGGGAGAGATAAAACAGACATTTAGGGAGATAAAGGGAGAGATGAAGCAGAGATTCATTAGCCTGGCTTGACATGTCACCATATTTAAAAATGTAAGGAAATTACAAATCATCAGGTTATTGCAAGAAGACCTAAATGATTCTAAATATATCTTCATCAGCAGAAGGGACAAAAGCTTGAAGGCTTCAGGTCTCTGAACAAGAGAAAAAGGAAAGGTTAACACTATTTTGCACATCCCCTTGTCTCCCTGGCATTGCTGAAGATACTACACTGAAGATGACAGCAGGCCTGGAAGCTATGGGAAAGGCCTGAGAAGTGACCTCTCCACACACTATTTTTACACAACTTCTGGATCTTAACTTCTACATTTCCAACAACAAAATCTCTCAACATGGTAATTAAGACGTGACGATCTAAATTCCATGTGTCATTGGTACACTGGTTGGCACCAGTAAGTGACAGCAACTAAAAATACTAAAAAGGCGAATCAAAATTACAATCATCCATCAGGAACTGAAGAGATTACAGTAAACAGGAATCTTTCAATAGAATTACATGGAAACAAGTGGCAGAACATGAAAAAAGACCCATGAGCTTGGGACTTTGAGAGCTCTGTATCATTGCTACTCAGATCCACACTTGGAAGGCTGTTGTGAGCAAATTATCACTGTTCTACCCAGTGTCAGACATAAGAGGTGTTAATTTTTCACACTTCAATTCATCACACTTGGTTACACTTAAGTAGCACGTGCACACTCAGATACTCCACACAAAGAAATATAAATTTAAAAGGACTTTGCTGTGCTCTTGGCATCAATTTCTTGTTAGAGAGCTCTGAATGAGAAACATACCCAGGTTAGGTGTGGGTAAGAAACAGAGTGGCTGTACAACCTGGTCACCAACTGCTAGAAGACACAAGTGCTACCAGGCAGGAGCCCCTCACCCAACCACCACCTACAGCCACCAGCCAGATCCTGGCCACCTCTCCTTTCCCTCACCCACCACAGCTGCAAGAGCTTGCTCAATACTTTTCCTTTCACTAACAGCAGCTAAAGCTGTATCAGAGACTCCTTATAAAAGAAAGCCAAAAGCCTCACAAAAACTCCACGTACTGACTAGCTACAAACACTAGTAACAGAAAAATCCACCTAATTTATACATTGCTGAAGTACGTGGCTAGCAGGCTGGCATCTATCACGTAACACATTCTTGGCAACAAGAATTCATTTAATAGGGCACTATACATCGAGCTTGAACATTACACGTTCTCAAATCTGGCTGTGCAGCACAAAAGCCTCTGTGCTACCAAACCTTCTAGCAACTCTCACTGTCAGAGCTTGCACCAACGCAGTCACACACCTACCAACCAACACGCCCTCCTGAACACCACAGACCTGACACTGTTCCTCCTCTATATTACGGCAAAGCTGATTCCATTAAGATCATAAATTACTGCTAATAACTGCCTTAAATAAAGTGACTTAAGTAAAGCACGACGCAACCTTGTAGGCAGAAACCCTGACTTCCATTGTCTTCAGGCCAGATCCAGCTGCAGTTCTTGCACCTTCTGGGGCCTCTCTGACACAGCTCCCAGCCTGTGACAGCTCCTAACCTGCAACCTGTTTGGCTGGATAATCTAGGACTTAATGTGACAACAGCTTAAGAAAAAGACAAAGACCCAGCTTGCACAGAACAAGGTAGGCCATCACAAAGAGTCTAAACCCACATAAATAGGAACAGATTATTTCAGAAAGGCTGTTTTTGCACTCAATACATTAGTAAAGCCTCATAACTGCATCAGTTTGGTCAATAGAAAAGCTTCTGCGCTATCAGCTCTTTTTAAAAATTAACAAAAGAAATAGTTTTAAAGTAAGAGTTTCACATTTGTCTAAACAAGAACCACACAGAAAAATTATTTCTACCATATGTATAGAGCAGCAATAGACAGACTACTTCAGTTTCAGCACCAGTACATGAAAGATTTTCCTCTGCGATTTATCTTCAACTAAATGAGGAGAAGCATCTTTCAAGACAGTAAAGCTGTGATTGCTCAGCTTACTCCTACCACTGACAAATTCCCCTACTACTAAGTCCTTGAGTAATATTCCTCACCCACTTGTAATCATTGCTCACCCACTCACACTGTGAGAGCTGATTACCTGCCAACCCAACAGCAGGATTTATTTCCACCCAGCTTCTCCTTGGGTGATTAATTTACCTACTGTTGATTAGTAAACTGTTTTCTTTCCATTGCAACAGAGCTTAGGAAAGATATATGTAAGAACTGAACAAAGATAAATACATGCTGATTAAAGAAAGTAATTAATTTTGTCATCTGGAATAGTCATTGATAAACATCCAGAAGGAAAACTGAAATGTTAAATTAAAAAACTTCAGTGTTCATCACTAGCTGAAGTAACTTCATTATAAAGGAAGTTTGACAACTGCTAGATGATTCTTCTCTCAAAAACTAAGTTACTAAAAATAAACAGAACACTTCAGGCAAGAGTATAATGAAACAGTTTTATTTAGCATCAGTACACAAAGAAGAGCTTATGGATCAGAAAGAATGTGGTAAAATACACTCTTCAAATCAGTATTCATGAAATAGTTAAGCCCAAAGCAATAAGCAAGGATTAAAGAACACTACACGAGGTTATCCCAGGCCATCTTATCCTGTCTACTGAATGATGCTTTGCTGACACTCTTCCTGAAGATAAAAAAAGGAAGACAAAGTCTTAACTCTGCTGATAAGAGTGGGAGGAAGACTCCTGCTTCCTCCCCACTCTTTCACAGACCAACCTGCAACATCTGCTTGGCCCTCAGAACAAACACAAATGACAGCAAGGAGGGGCCAGGGGTCTTTAATAATTAACTTCCATAGTCAGAACAAATAAGGGAACCTGTGAATTCAGAACCCAGTAAGCACCCTTTTTTTGTATCATACTGAAATAAAAGCCTCTGACAAGAAGGGCTGACCCTCTGTGTTTTCCATAGGAGTTCAGAACAGTACCACAGAATCCTTCTGGTTGGAAAAAACCTTAACGATCATTAAGTCCAACCTGACCAATTCTACCAACCATTAACCTAACTCTACCAGTAGCTTCTTATCACACTCAGATAAGTTTAGATTATTTTAAAATACAGGAAACAACAGTATCACAGACAGCTGAGGTTGGAAGGGACAACCTGAGATCATCTAGCCTAACCCCTGATCAAGCAGCTTCAGCTAGAGCAGGCTGCTGAGGACAGAGTCCAATCGGGGGCTGAATATCCTCACAGATGGAATCTCCACAAGCAATCTGCTCCAGTATTTGACCACCCTCACAGTAAATTTCAAGTAAGATAAATTTATTTTCACAAGTCTCCTTACAGAAAAATAACCCCTCAAAATCTACATCCCTAAATGGTGACTGACAAACAGTTCAGAGGCAACTGAACATTCTGCTGATCCAAAACAAGAAGCTGCACCGAGAGATGCCAAATCCAGTACGCAAGGTTGCACGTCCTGATTATTACTGAAACTGTCTATAATTTATAAACTTTGCTTCTCTCATGATCCCTGGGTGCAAACTTACACACACACAAATGCTCACATCCAGAAAAATATGCTTAATTAGTGCTCAAGAGAAAAGTATTTTCTTTTCATGACTACTAAACATGACAAAGGAACCATGCAAGATGCTCTATTAAAAATCCACAGAAGAGTCAAACTCCACACAGAAAATAAGCTCCTGCTTCTCCTATATAAGAGGCATCAAGGATAACTAATTATTTCCAGCCACAGTCTGAAGTGTTTCATTTCCTGTGATTTGACATCTTTCCCCACAGGGCATTTGTACCCAGCGATGTTGAGGCACTGAAAGGATGCATCATCTCAAACAAAGTTATACCCAAAGACAGCCAAGTCAAGCAGTGAACTCATTTTTCTTGACAGAACTGCAGCAAGTCACCTCTTACCTGGGTCCAAGCAGGTGAATTTGCAGCACTCCTTGGGGTCCTTGCGGTACTGCTGGCAGCCCTGGGGCCGCTCACACAGGGCAGCCACACACATCTCGGGTTCACCGTTGTGACACGTGCAGCTCAAACAGGGATCATTCCCCTTTGGGGTGAAATAGTAGCCTTCATCCACAATGTTGTCTTTGATATCAACGCAAGTCTGGCCTAGAAGAGACATGCACATCACTATCCATGTTTCTGGGAGCCTGTCAGAATGGAGTCCAGTTTATCCTGTCACCTTAAGTGATTTGTAACCACCAGCAGACCACCAGTTAAAAGCCACGCTGTTACATTAAAGCCACTTTGAAAAGGGATCTCCCAGGAGTGGGGAAGGTAATGGATATTCTGGAGGCACACAGGGATAATTTACTGCTCAAAATAGACAAAGTGAGGTTTAAGTATTGAATAGCATCAACACGCTTTCAGGCATCTTCTCCAAGACTCTGGGAAGCAAGTGGTCTGAGAAGTTTAAGCTTCACTGTCAATGCCTGCTGCAGTTCCCTCCCTCTCTCCTGGTACTTAGGAAAAGCTGGATCCTCTCTGGACCAAACCTGAAGTACAGTTTTCATTGTCAGGCCTGAAAAAGGGAGCCAGGCAACAGTACTTCCACTGCCCTAGCTGCATCTTGATCCCAGCCCAGCAGAGGAAGTTTAGGTGCTTTCTGTCCACTGTCCTTTCTTCCCAGTGACCTAAAGGCAGGTACCAAAACGAGAAAGAGGGAACACAGCACTGAAGAAAACTGCTCAGGGAGAGTGGCCTCTCCCCTCCACCCCATGAACAGGTCAGCTGGGTGTACAGCAAAGGTCAGACTGAAAGAGACCCTGAGGAGGTCTCCAGCTCCATCTGCTGCTCAATGCAGGGTCAGCTAGGATATCCCACAGGTCACTCAGGAATTTAGCTTATCTGGTTGTAAAAGCCTCTGAGGATAGAGGCTGCACAACTTCCTTGGGAGTCTGTTCAACTGTTGACCCCCTCACAATTAGAGTGTTTTTCCTAGTGTTTTTCCTAGCATCAGCTCTTTTTTTTTTAACTCACTGAGCACAAAAAGTAGAAAGGGTAACTATTTCCCCCTATTTGTTATATGCATGTTTAAAAACTCAATACAGTTAAGACTGAACTTACTCCTTTTGCAGAGGAATGAAGATTTCTCATAGCAGTTTTCAGCATACCAGCTGTGCAAACCGTGGTGCCGGAGGGTAGGAAAATGGAAACACTGAAGCTGGGCACAAAGAACGTTTTCATTTTCAGACATAGCAGTCCCAAAGATAGGGTCAGGGGGTAGAAAGACTTCTGAAGAGCCTAGAACAAGATGCATTGGTTATCAGCAGCCTGCAGGTATGGGAAGCTTTAGAAAGGCTCTATAATGTCACTCACTTCACAGACAGCAGCTCTGCTACAGGGCTACTCCAGCTTTAGCTTCCATTAGCAACATTCCTCCGGGGAACAGCAAACAGCACAGAGGGAAGGGCTGACTCACAGAGAGAAGAGGCTGCTATTTTCAAAGTACTGGGTAATTTTGTCATTCTGCACCAGTAGGAGTGATGTTTTGATACCTCTACAAGTGCTGCTTTCCAGAGCCCTATGGGGTTTGCCTGCCAATAGTTACGCACCCCTTCAAACAACACTGAGCTTGGCCATGCTTGCTACTAGTAGAGCAAGAACCCCTGCCAAGCTGGTACCTGCCCCTCCAAGCACCTGCTAGGTGTTCCCAAAGGTGTGTGTGCATATCTGCCACATGCAGCACACTGCAGAGCTGCACCCCCATGTCTCATGCTCCTCCTCCAGAGTGCAGAGCAGTGCTAGATCAAAAACAAGGCTGCAATGCTGCTGCTGGGGGGCAGTAAGACCTGTTTGGTCCTTCCAGCTCATGTTATTGTGAAGAGACTGCATCGTGATGGGTTCCAAAGGGTGCAAGAGGTGTTGAGGGCATTTGGTAACTTAAATTGTTGTTTCTGAACACTGTCTGGCTTCACTGTTATACCTGCTGGCATGCAAAGTTGCAGAAATTAATGGGAGACCAAGACACAGCAACTGTGAACACAACCCTATTCTGTATGTTTTCAGAGCTTACTTCACAAATCTGTGTGCTTAAACATTTGCTTTTACCAGCTCTTACAGTCAGCACAGTCTTTTCACATGGTGGTCCTTTCAAACACTTAAGTGTGATGGGGTTTTTTTAATTCTTTTTAAAATGCAACTTGGTTCTGCTATTTATTTTAATTTTTTTTGAGGACTTACCTTCCCCATCTCCCATTAATGGATTTTCATTTCCAAACTACAGAAATTTCGATCACTTTTCAAACAGATAGGAGGAATTCTGAATCGGCCTCACTACAAGTCCATGTAAAATTTTTCAGAAGCTACTGAATGCTACTATGTACAGTTATGTACTTTATCACACAGTTTCTTAATTAGAAAACTTGCAAATACAAGAATATATTCTATTGAGGAGGCTTACATTTATATAATGCATCAGATTAAATCAAAATTCCAACAAAAACAGGTATGATTTTTCTGTAATTTATGCCTCCCTGGTTGCAAACATCTGTCAGCAGATGGCAGTGCAGTCAAATCTCCAAAGAGAAAGAAAAGCTCTTTTAAGCATGTTTGGGTTTTTTTACCTTGGACTTCACAGGAGAAATCTACCTCAATAAACTGTTCTGTCGAGACCAGAAACCCATATTATGAGAAAATCTCGGACTTTCCTCTCTCCCTTTCCCCTGCATCTTTAGGTGCTTTACTTTAAGGAACTACTGAAAATGTTCCTGCTTCCACAAGGAACAGTTTCCTCTCAGTATTCAGTCAACTCTGTTCACTTAAATGACCAAAAATACTTCTGTGCACAGTAAACAAGCACCATCATTAGAAAGTTATGCAGGCTTCTAGTACTTCTCATGTGTCAAAGGAAGTAGTTTCAGAGATCCATCTGTTCAGCAAAATCCTGTTCATAATTATGTATCTGTACCTAATGGACAGTTTTCCTTCCAGATTTTTCATTACTGAAAAATGTATATGAGAAGAAAACTTCAGATTAGTTTTCATATGCTACACTGAATTCAGTGCTGATACTTAGAAAACACACCCCTTTGTTTTAAGTTTTCCATTACCTAGACTAGTACAGCTCCCAGATATCCAATTCTACACATAAGAGTTTATATAATGTCTTCAAAATTAACTAAACCTTCCACTGAATTAGTCAGAAGGCACAAAAATACAACTTTGCATTTTCAGCAGAGGGATCTGCTTGTTTTGCAACTGAAGTTCAGCAGTGATGCCTAGCAGATTCATGTTCAGTTTTTTGCATAAAACGGACTTCTGGGATTAGGCAAATTTTGTCTTCTTTTAAGCAAACTACCTGAAGTATCTTAAAACTTAAAAAATCTGAGTAATTTTGCAAAATTCAGGATTTTTTTTTCAGTATACAAAAATCTACCAAATTTTGAAAAGCTACAACCCCATAATATTCTATGCCAGTTTGTGCTAATATTGTAATCAGGAATCAGCAGTTCATCTAGCCATTCCCACAAAGAACATGAGTAGTTCTATTAAGTAGTTTCCTTTTCCTCAGCTCAATCAAGAGGAAAGCCCAAATAAACAGAAAAACATGTTCCTTCCAAAAAGACATCAATGTGAAAAAACTATGAAGCTTCTTACACTTGAAAATAAGATGTGTGGAGTATTAAACTCTTCCATTTTGATCCTGCAAAGCAGTTTCCCTA